ATCTCGTGTTGAATATTTTTTGAATTTTAATATCATGCAGAAATTTATATCTATTACTAATAAAAATTGAAACTATATACTTGTAAGAGTGTTCACATAAGATTTAAAAATACAATTTTATTGGTCTACAATAACATTAATAATTAATTTTTTTTACAAATTCTAATATTATTACTAACAAAACAAATATAAAAGAATAAAAATATTATGTATCCAATTTTAATTGGTCTACCACAATATTGAAAATTAAGAAAATTTTGTTTTTAAAAATTAGTAAAGATAAGGAATTAATGTATAAATCTTATATTAATAATAAAAACTAAAATAATATTAAAATAGGAAAATTATATAAATAATTAAGAATAAATAAAATAGTAAAATTTGTTTACATAGATTTAAAAACTCCTACATTACCATATAAATTTTTGTCACATAACTATAAAAAAAAAATTAAAGTTAATTTTGTATGTTTGTGTGCAACTATTTCAATTAAAAATAAAACAAAATAATATAGTTAAATTTCACTAAAGAATGAAGCATTACAATGTAAAAGAGCCTACTGGCTAAACTATCCGTTAAACTATTAGCTAAAAAAATGATGAAAGAAGACATAGACAAAGCCACTACAAGCTGCTTAATATCGAGAAAGAGATCATAGTTCTCCAAAGCTTGACCACCATATTTGAGAAGAATGATAAGTTCCAAGCAATCCAAAAAACATATCAAGTAATTGATATCCGACATTTTTGAAAAAAAAAAGCGCTGAAAATAGAGAAAAAAGTTATGTTATTAAGACGGAGGAGACCAAGGTATCAAAGAAGATCCTTAAAATAAAATGGAATCTGATAGGATTTTAACCTGAACCACAATGGTAACAATTAGTTGACCAAACAGCATCTGATTACAATCAGTATGCCTCATCACAAGGCGGAGTGACCGCAACCACTTGCCGCAAAAAGCCTTGTACAGAATCTTCCTGCTTTGATTTCTACCACATATGGACCTCAAAGTTATATAAAAGTTGAAATTACTTAATTGAAGTTACATGAGATTGTGAGTGTGTTTAATATATGTCACTGGGCAAAATTACGGTTTCTATATTTTCCACGTAAATGAAAAGCATATTTATTTTATCAGTTTTTTAATTATGAATTTGTTTCAATATTCATTCCGTATTTATTTTTGTTTTTGTTTCAAAGTAAAATTTGTGCTAATTCTTTTGCTTTTTCATTTATAAATTAAACTGAAACTTTTAAATTAAAATAGTAAAATTATAACTATATTGTCTTTTCTGTATTCCATCGAAAACATATATAATGAGAATGAAATTAACTAAATAAATAAAAAAAAATTTACTTTGATTGGAAAATATGAGGTATAATAATTTAAAATTATTTAAAAATTAACGTAAATAATATGATACAAGATAAAAGTTGTCATGAATCTGAAAACAAAAATTGTAATTATTATTTTGTTTTTCAATGTAGTATATTAAATTAGAAATTTCTATTGGTTAAATTAGCTAAGAAAATATATAACTTTTATATTTGTTTTTTTTTTGAGAAAAAGTATATAATGAAGATGAAACAAAAATGTTGGAAAAAAATCATTTTTTTATTTGGAGAACTGATATATATTTTTAAATTTTTGTATCAATATTACGATTATTAATTAGTATTTGATTACTTTGTTATATTTTTAGTTAGCTTTAGTATACTATTTATAAATATCATACCAAACTATAAGTTTCTAAACAGAACATATTATATATTCAAAGTAAAATCATGAAACTTCACAAATTAGATATAAGTGTTTTTATCAAAATAATATTCAAAAACATATCTACGAGTAGCGTGGATGAAAACCTAATGTTTCTATCTAAAATTTATATTACACTGATCCATTATTTTTTATTAAAAAATATCTGTTGTAAATTATTAGAAAATTGCAGATTTTCTAAAAAAAAAAGATAGTTATTACTTGTTTTTTTGTAAAAAAAATAATAAAAATCTACTTATACATGCATTTTTTCCTTATTAAAACAGAATTTAAATATTTTGTTGGTTAACTAGAGAAGTGTAGGTGGGTCCAAATTTTAGCTTTCATTAATTCTTTAGCACTTTTCTAAAATCCTATTCAAAGGTATCAGTTTTGATATGATTTAGGACCAGTTTAACTTTATGTTTGCATAAGGTATACAGAAAAGAAGTATAGAAGTAATTTCGTCTTTTACTCGCTAATAAAAATAAAATTCTATAGCCAAAAAAAAACCGAAAGTGTTTGAAATTTGAGAAATTTAAAATTAAATGCATAAAATGTTAATCTATGCTATATTATCAAGACTTTGAATGTTTCAGACAAACCAATATGGAAATTTTCAAAATTTTAAAGTCATACACGGTGGTCCAGTATTGATCATTATTATTTATTACATTCAATTGAATAACAAACAAGTCTCCATTTTTTCTTCTTGCAAAAGCTGTATTTTCGATATTTTTATCAGTTTTCCGCTTTTGCTTTACATGTTCTGCAGTAATCGATTGTCTGTAAAGTTGTACTAGTTGAACGTCATCGGTGTGTGCAATTCATCATGATTCTATGCTCTTTCCTCTTTATACTCTCTCACTTTTTAGCGCTTATCAATCTGGTTAATCCGATCCAAACCAAACTAAAACGATATCTATTATATTAAAACAGAAGCACATTTACTACTTGCTTCCACACATTTCTAATTTTTTTAAAGTGTTTAAAAATAATTTTAATAATTATTTATATTTAATTTCGAAAATTAGTTATTAATTTAAATATTTTTAGAGTTCCTTAAATATAGGTAATTTAGATTTAATTTGATTAAAAATAATAAATCAGATATTAATTTAGATTTGATTTAAAGATTCTAATTTAAATAATTTCTATACTATTAAACATTTTTATCAAAAATATCTAGAATTTTTGAAAAAAAAATTCACATATAAAAATAATGGTCATATTTGAAATAGAAAATATTTATAATGATATAAATGATATGATATTTATGTTGTTAATATAATATATTTACGATTATGATTTATTTACAAATTAATAATAAAATAATAGGTAAAATTTAAATGTATAATTTAAATATTAAAAATATATTTTTAAAATTTATAGAACTAAAAATATATATAAAAAACCGGGTTAAAAATATTTTGGTAACTAATATCACTAATTTTGAATTATACATGTATATCGAAAATATATTTTTCATACAAAATCAAAACATAAAAAATTAAAAATTATTGCATACACTATAATGTGGTTTGAAAAACCAGTTATACACTCCCTTCGTTGATTAAATTTTAGAAAACTATAATGCTAAATAATATTGTTAATACATCTTAAACTTTTAATAAATATTTATATTATACGGTAATATAAACGGAAAAATTAAAATTATGTTTTTATAATAGTTCATTTTGAATTAATATTAGCGGACGGGTTAAAATTCTATTTTTATAATCATAGTTAATTTTAATACTATAAAAATATATCTAAACACAAAAATCAATATTTTTGCTTATTAAAAAAATATATTTATAAAAATAATTATATCTAAACTCAAAAACATAAATTATACAAACTTGTTAAACAATAAAAAATATTCCCGTGCGGATACACGGGATTAGAATCTAGTTAACATTTTAAATAATACACTTACAAACTTGTTAAAGACAACTTCTATGTAAATTTTTTTTTAAGGCATATTTGAGCCAAACAAAACCTCACTAAACATATAGAAATTTGTTACATATTAAAAAAAAAAATATATATATATATATAGATATTGTCGACATAATTTTTTCATAATTACTAACTAATAATTTTTCAGAAAACTGAAAAACTAAACTGAATGTTGAATTGGACACTTCTACATAAATAATCATAGTTTTTTCGTGATATATAAACCTATAATTTGTTCAACAACGACTTGCAAATAAAAATAAAATAAAAAGTAAATTTAGAGGTTCTTAGTTTTGAAATTTTTTGGTTTGCTTAAAGTTAGGAACACAAATATCAATTATTGCATTTGGACTAATTTATTTTTAGTTTAAGCATATTTTGCAGGTGCTGCCACATTAAAGATGAAAATAGAAATGGCCAATTCGTATCTCAACACCAATAGCTACAACAGATTAGTAGCTGAATGATTTTAGTGTACGAATCCATACTCAAACCCCCTAAAAAAATTGAATACCACAACACATACAATTTATTTTGGGGTAAAACATGTATTAACTCTATTTCTGTTAGTCAATCTCGTGCATTTTCAAACAGAAATGATTCATTTGCCATGTTGGTGCCCACATCATCATTTATTCATTTTGGGGAATTAATTTTTGAAAGAAATCTACCAACACAACGTCATTTTAAGCTGTTAAGAATTGATCTAAGTTTTGATTCTAATTCTTACTCTCAGTTCGTGATCTCGATTTGTTTAGGTTTATTCTTTCTGTAATTTAAGTACGGAATTGTAAACTAAAGACACAAGAACAAATTTGGTGACCATGTTCTCTTTCGATAGATCTGGAGGTGGAACCAAACCACCATGCATGCACTAGATCAATCTTCAGATACAATCGACTAACCAGCTGTTTACTGACACAGCTACTTGCAGAAAAAGCTCGTGGAGAAGTACAGACGAGAGCTTCTCGCTGGAAGAGAACCCGGAGCTAGTGCGACCAATCGTTGCCAAAGATTTCGCACCAAGCAAGCCGAAACGCACCACCGTGTTCACCGAGAAGATCTTGTAGTTTTCTCTCTCTTACTCTGATTCTCTGTCTCTAGTCTGTTATTTTCCACAAATAAAAGAAGAAGACGTTGACTCCAACTTATATTTGTTGACTGTAGTTGGGCTAGACCTTTTGCGAAGCCCATCTTGATAATTTGTAATGAAGCCTAATTTTAGTCTTGACCCATAAATGATTCGGGAGACCAAAACGACAACACTCCTCCCAAATCTCCACCTTTGTCGTTGTCTGGCCTTCTCTCTAACCTTGGCCACAAACTTCTGACCAACCATGAAAAACACTTCGTCTTCTCCGGCCATGTCTCCGCAAGTTACTCCTAAGTCGTTCCTGATTACTGAAAGAGCACCTCCAACTTCACCGTCGTTAACACTTCCGCCTCCACCAATTCCAATCAACTTCAGTTCAGAACCATATAAGTGACCTTTCAAGTTTATCTTGACCAATAACTTACGACACCTCTAAACGCAGTTCCAATCGAGTCCTGCTTGACTCCAACCTTTTCCTCTTGGTTACTTTTACCAGCTCCAGAAGAAATGCGAGAATTTGATGAGCTTCTTCCCTGTGCCAGGTACAACCCCCAATCACAGAAAAACTCTTCAAATTTCCTGACTCGTTCTTTACCAAACGTGCCTTACTCTCCTTGTTGATTTATATATCGATAAAACTGCCACCACTTCTCTGTTTATACTCTGTGAGGTGACTCAACCAACAGGACCATCTCCGAGTATGCCTGCAATCGATCAGACGACGACTTTGAGTGTTACGAGGCACATCTTGAAAGATTTTCTAGGTAAACTCTTAATCAACATGTCAGCTGGGTTTAATTTTGTATGATTCTTGTGAATTTGAATCAACCCTTCATCCAAAATGTATAGAATGAAATGAATCTTTGTAGCCATGTGTTTGGTCCGGTTGTGATGAACTGAATTCTTAGCCAAACAGATAGCACTCTATGAATCACTGCTCAACTTAAAAAACTCAAAATTGAATTCCAACTCATTGCAGAATTCTCTCAACCATAACCTTTCCTTCGTAGCCTCTGACATAGCCATATATTCAGCTTATGTGGTGGACAAAGCTACAACAAGCTGCAATATACACCTCCAGCTAACTGTGTTACCACCAACTTGGAACACATACCCTGTAACTGACTTGCGTTTGTCTAGGTCGGTTGCATTGTCAAAATCACGAAATCTTCTATCTCCATCTTTTCTAAATAAATAAAATTTAGGCAAACATCCGTAGCCCTTTTAGATATCGCAAAATCCTTTTAACAGCTGCCCAATGATCTCTTCCAGGCTTTGCCATGAACCTGCTTATCAAGCATACAACAAACCCCAAATCTGGTCTCGACCCGATCATTGCGTACATTAAGCTTCGTACTATATTGGCAAAAGGGACTGAATCCATCAGCTTAGCCTCTTTAGTTAACTCATCCTTAGTTAAGCTTTGAAGCTTGAACAATGAGTTTGTCAGAGTAACTACTGGCTTGCACCCATCTATGTTAAATGTCTTCAACATCTGCTTCAGATATCTAGCCTGAGACAACTTCAAAAAGCCTTTTTTCTGTCCCTGATAATCTCCGTTCCCAAGATTCTATTAGCTGGACCGAGATCTTTCATCTCAAACTCTGAATTCAAACTATCCTTCAGAATCTTGATCTTCTTCATATCCTTTGCTGCTATGAGCATATCGTCCACGTAGAGTACCAAGTAAATGCTATCTTCTACTTCTGATCCCTTGTGGTAAACACACAGATCTTTAACACTTCATTTCGTACAAAAAAATGAACAACTCTACCATATTCATAAGTAAACACCTTAACTTATTACCTTCATAAAATAAGTCTACCATTCATCGACCGTTTCTATAAGAGCCACAACAAACAAATCTATCTTATACATCAAACAACTGAGAAAAATCTATTATAAATGAACAAACCAATGAATGAATATCAAACAACTCTATCACATATTAAAAACTGAAAAAATATGGAAATTACCGGACAAATGGCATAAGTCTACCAGACCCATAACATAAGTGAAATAGACATATCTCTTATTAGTCTACCAAATATGACAATAAAATTTGTTCGAAAAAATACTCACCAGAAAACCCTTGACGAAGCGCCATTTCGAAAACCTTCGAGGAAACCACTGCGGAACAACTAATTCCTGCAACACAAAAAATTAGGGTTAGACAGTTTACTGAAGTATTCTCCAGTGCTTTATGTCGCCGAACCAACCGACGATGTTGAAGAACGCGAAATAAAAAACGAAACAAAATGATGATTTCTGGATTACAAAACGACAACTAAAAAATATCTTACATGGGCGTAGAACATGCCAATTAGAAACGCCGATGAAGCAGAGGACGAAGAAAACCGGAGAACTGGGTATCTAAGTCATCGTCATCGTAGTTGACGACAGAAGCTTCAAATCACCTCTAGGGTTTTTTTTAACGAGAGAACAGTTTTTTTTTAGAATGTGAAATAGATTTTTTCCGTCAATATATGAAATAAATTTTAGGAAGTTATAATTTCTGTATATTTATTTATGTATTCTTTATATTTCTGAATTATGAAATTACAATTCAAAAGTTAATATAAATAACAAAAAAAAAAGTTTTCATTTGTGAGGGGTTAGGTTGTTTTTTCCACGCTAGTTGTAAGATTTGTAGAACAGCAGCAGACTAAGCAAGAATATAGAGAGATTAAGCTGAGATTAATGAAGAACTAAAAAAAGAAGAGAGAATCGAGAGTTTTAGAGAGAAAGAGATGTATTCTCTTTTCCTTAGTACTATAAAAAACGGCTACAAATGTTTAAATAGGAAGACAAAGAAAACACTAACACATATGGACCACCCTTTACATCTGTTGGGCTTATGCAAATGGGCATACTAAATACCTTATAAAACACCTTATAAAACCTTATAAAGTCTTATAAAGCCTTCTTAAGTCTTCTAAAGTCTTCTAAAGTCCTTGCTAAACACTTCACATTGGTTTCACAAGAGGTGAGAATGATTCGTCTTGTTTAACACTTCCCCTCAAGCTAAGTCCTAAGGAAGCTGGAGACTTAGCTTGGAAGTTAGGAGACTTACCTCATTAAAAAAACCTAAGTATGGAAAACCCAATGGGACAAAATCATACTTAGGGAAAAAGAGTGTGAACTCTTCACTTAGGGGATTCCAAGCATTGGAGGTTCATGAGTCCTAATCTCTCACTGATGTACTCCAAGGTCTTCAGACTTGTAGCTTTGGTGAAGATATCGGCTAGCTGATCTGAACTCCTTGTGTAACATGATAGAATGACCCCAAGCTCCATTTGTTCTCTAACTTTGTGGCAGTACACCTCGATGTGCTTAGTTCTTTCATGGAACACCTGATTTGAAGTGAATGATGGCATGTAGAATGCTTTAGATTGCTTATCAAACAACTTAAGATCCCCAATGCCTTCTATCTTAACCTTTTCTCCATTAGTGATAATCACATTTCCTAATGCAGGTTTCATATTACTAATCAAGTTTTCATCATTAATCATGTAGTGACTAGCTCCAGAATCAACTATCAGGGGCTTATCACTTTTCAAAACATGATTAACAGCATGATGTTACAAGGAATGACTATACAAAACATGAAAACTAACGGCTTTTATAGGTTTACCGGACTCTTTAAGAGCCTTGATGAGAGCGTCCAGGTCTGATTTCTTCACGTACTCGGCTGAGGCTCTCATGACACCACCTTCCTTCTCACGGTTTGATGGTCCTGCCTCCTCATGAGCTTCATTTGCCTGTGGCTTCCTCTGGTCTTTTCCGTGGCTTTGTTTGAGATGTGGGTACAATATCCAGCATTTGTTCTTCAAATGATCCTTCTTTTTGCAGTGCTCACACACACATACTTCTTGGTCCTCACCACCAAAAGGTCCTTTGTTAGCCACAGCTGCCTCACTCTTGTTGGCCATCACCAAGTCGCTTCCTTTACCACCAAATAGACCCAAAGAACCTTGCTCCTTTTGAATCTGTGAACAAACTTCCTCCAGACTTGGTAACATTGTAGCTCTGCGCAAGTGCTTGATGAGATCATTAAAGGCCGGGTTCAACACCATTAGAAGGGCAAAGACTTTGTCCTGCTCTCTCCTTTCATTCAGAACCTCAGCGTCCACAGTAGCCGGCCTAAGCATCTCTAACTCAGCCAAAGAGATCTAAATCTGCCAAAGAAATTGTTGAAGTCAAGATCTCCTTGGTGGAGGCGGTTTATTGCCTTCTTAACCCCAAACACTCTAGTGAGATTACATGTGTTTCCAAACACATTCTTTAAGGTTTCCCACAGCTCCTTTGCACTCTCACAATAGGAGTAGGATTCTAGCACAGAGATGTCCAAAACTCCATGGAGAATAGCAAGGACAGCTTGATCCTCTTGAAACCACTCTACAGAATCAGTCAAAGTCGCCTTCTTTCCTCCTTCTTTGGACTCGCCATCGACATTCTTTGGATCTTCAACATGATGCCAAAGGTTTCTCCCCCACAACACTGCTCTAGCAGTCCTTTCTCATAGCAAGTAGTTATCAGCTCCTTTGAGCACAACAGGTAAAGCTGTCACCTTTTTTCCTTCCATTACAAACCACAGCAATGAGAAAAAGAAGAAAGATCGAGTCTTTTGCAAAGAATGAGATTTGTACAGATGAATCTGGGTTTGGGATATAAGAACACGAGACTGGGAGAGAGTTTAGAACAAGAGAATAGTAAGAAGAATGAGAGATTAATCACCAGATTAAAGAACCTGGATCTGATACCATGTGAGATTTATAGAATAACAGCGGATTAAACAAGAATATAGAGAGATTGAGATGAGATTAATGAAGAATTAAATAAAAGAAGAGAGAATCGAGAGTTTTAGAGAGAAAGGGATGTATTCTCCTTTCCCTATTACTATAAAAAAACGGCTACAAATGTTTAAATAGGGAGACAAGGAAAACTCTAACACATATGGGCCACCCTTTACATCTATTAGGCTTATGTAAATGGGCATACTAAATACCTTATAATACACCTTATAAAACCTTTTAAAATCTTATAAAGCCTTCTTAAGTCTTCTAAAGTCCTTGCTAAACATTTCACATTGGTTTCACAAGAGGTGAGAATGATCCATCTTATTTAACACTAGTAAAGTTAGTGTAGCAAAAATGTAAGGGACCTAGGTTAATTTTGCAAACAGACTTTTTTGTAAAGTCATTCTAGTGTTTATCTCTCATGTTTCTACACTACGTGTTTTATGCAGCGCCAGCTCGAAACCCGTAGTCACCTTTTTTTTGCGTGCTCTTACTCCAAACAGGTGTGGAAGAATGTAGCACATGTGTTTCTTCTCAGGGAAATCTCAGCAACTGGAATTCGGTGGTTAACATCATCTCACGGTCTCATCAAAATCATTTGAAAAGTTTCATCATTAGATACCTGTTCCAAATGACGATTTATGTGCTGTGGAGAGAAAGGAATGATCGACGACATGGAACTACACCTGCTTTGGTAGCTCGGCTGATCAAGCAAATTGATAAAGGGGTACGAAACAGATTTAGTTCCATCCGTATAATGCATGATGAACGGTATCAAGAGGGTATGCAGGTTTGGCTAGCTTCTAGGCCTGAAGCTTGAGAAAGCAGAAAGCTGTGTTTTCAAGTATAAGTTACAAGCTCGTTTCCCAATTAATTTGTTCGCATGTACGATGTAGAAAACTTTCTACAGAATTTTTCTTCCAAAACAAAATTATAATAAAATAAAATATCGAAATGTGAGATGAGACCATGTCTTTTTTTTTTGTCCAACACTTCTTATATTAATCTTAGTCCAACCCATTCAAGCCCAAAAGAACCTGTTTAGCCAAATAGTCTGCTCTTACATTGTCTGATCTTAAAATAAACTTAAACTGAATGAAAGTGAAAAATTTAGCACAAATGGAGACCACATCTAGGCTCCAACTGGTGATCATAATTAAGAAATGTAATGATGAGGAATGTGCTATTCCTCTCCATTCCTAAATTTTTTTACCGTTTAAAATGATTAATTATTACATGTCATTTCTCTTTATTCCTCTTCATTCCTATTTTGAAATGGAATTCTAGAACAAATGTGTTCCCTATCAAAATTGTTAAAGAACGAAAGGAATGCAATAAAAAAGAAATTAATAAAAGTATATTAAATGTATTGTTCCATTCCTTCTTTACATTTTTTTGATTACCATTTTCTATGACAATTTATTACATTCATTCTTTACATTTATTCCTTCTAATTTGTTTCTATCATTTTTTCCATTTTTTTTCCTATCATTCCTATTGTTCCTGAAGTGGTCACCAGTTAGAGCCATAATTCAGGCCCGTGCCTATATACAAAATATAGAAACATTGGCTTATGGGCCAAAATTTTTAAAAAAAAAAAACTGAATGGTCTAATTTAAACTAATTGTTCATTATTAATTATTTAAATTGAGATTCAGTTTGAAAATAAAACGTTTTCTTTGATAAATTAGCAACTAAATTAATAACACAATACAATATTAGGCAACATACATAGCCACCTAAATAATTAGACAAATTAAAATTAAAAGTATCATTTCAACTTCTTATATCTTTGTTAAAGTTTTGGAAACTTCTTACTCTCCTTTTATTCTTTCTGAACAATCACATAATCAATAGCTATTTGTCAATTGTTATTTTTTTTTAATTATAATTTTCTTTCATCTAATGTCAGATTTAGTTTGATTTGTGATTTGTTATTCTAATTTGTATTTATTTTGTTTACGATAATAATTGTTATTACTGGTTTATATGAATTTGAAATGATAATATTATTATTTTTTTTATATAAATTGGATTGATTTTATATGAATATGAGATGACTAGAGCTTTTAACACAAAAACGGGTTAACTAAGGTTTTTCAAAAAATTCGCTTACAGGTTATGTATCTCTGGGCACGGCCCTGTTTTGACTTTGATTTTTGAACACATCTACCATACTGGTTTTTATTCATAGAAAATGATGTTTTACATTCATAAAATTTCATTGCATTTAGACGTTTTTATTTGAATTTCTGAAACTTTCACAAATTTAAAATCTATCTAAATTTATTTTATTTCTTCTATAACTTTAAATTTAAACATAGTATCATTAAATATAGAAAACCGGTCCAACCGGTTGGACCAAGTTAAACCGTGATCCAGATAAATATCTGGCTCGAGTTTTTATATCATGATACTGTATATCAGAGTTCCTGACCAAGATGGATAAGGGAATGGGAACATTTTGGCCCTTGGATAGCATAGTATAACTAGATAGCGAGGAACAACACACAACTTATAATTTAGCTGGCACAACTCATAACAGCATCCAATAATGAAAGCACGAGTCCAAGATTAGCCGTCGCTCCATAGCTTCCTTCCTCCTATATTATTTCAAACTCCCTTATATTATGTTGTCAAGTTAATGAGTTTTCATGCGGACCCAGATTGGTTTTGATTGATGTCTCAAACCGGATTCATCTCATGTGTATGAAAAGATCTCGAATATGTTTGTCAGAACTTACTGTAGTGACTTGTTTAAGAAGATTAATGAGAAAAAAAAGTATACAAGTAACAACATTGCTAAATTATTTTTAACCTCAAATAACATGAAAATGTCCGAGTATACGAAATTATTATTCCAAATAAATTACACCAATACAGCTTCAAAGTCATTTCACTAATTTTTTAAAGAATATATGTTTTTTCATAAACTTGTTATTGTACAAAATTTTATTTTACACCAAGATTATACTTTTTTAACCTGAGACCCATCTAATTCAAGCTAAAGATCATCTTTCGAATTTGTCGATCAGATCATTACCACTTAGCAAATATAAAACAATTCAGGAGCAAACCTCATTGTTCTTCCTTAGGCATGCAAGTGCACTTCTTCTGTTCTTCTGTTAACTCCTAAATTATCCCCACCAGAATAACACAAATTCAGAAATGGATATTCAATATTAAGAATTCTTTTTTTTTTAGTTCACCTTTTTAGTAATCATTTTTAATTCAAACTAAATCATTTGAATGTAACATGTCTGCAGTGTTGGTTTAAGTATATACCTGGATCTGCCTTTGAAGAACCTTCACGTATTCTACAGCTTCTTCTAACATGTCTGCAGTGTTTGTTTGCTGCGACAAAGATAAAGAAGTACACCAAAATCCTCAGAGCTTAGATTCAAGATCTTTATTGCAGAACCCGAAAAAATTTCATCAGTTTGGTCATGATTTATAGAAAGGAAACCAAACTCAAACTTCAAATATATATAATCTGCGTTATTTGATCAAGGGGGACAACAATGCGAATCGATATCAAGATCCTCAGGAAATCCTATTAACGACTAGTAATAATTTCTATATGTTAACACATTTGTAACCAATATAAATATATAATTGTATAAGACATCTAAGATCATCAGAAAATCCATTTAGGATGAAAAAGATATTACCTTATCCATGTTAGGAACAAGCTCTTGTAGCTTCCTTATTCGATCACTTATTCGCGTTCTTCTTACCTACAAAACAAAAGGTAAGAACAAATAAATAACAGAACAACTCTTTGTTCACTGCAAAATACAGTAAATCACTGAACTTCCATGAATTGAAAGTAAGATAGAATCCTTAATTCAAAGAGATCAAAACTTAATCACTAAACTTTCAAGAATTGAAAGTAAAGATAAAACCTTTATCACTAAACTTTATAGAAATTGAAGGTAAAGATGGAACCTTTACCACGAAACTTCCATATATTAAATGCAAAGTTTGAATTTTTAGTTTACCCTCTCAGCAATGCTACGAGGATGCGTTGCACAACCACGTTTAGCACGAACCCTAAAAGCAACAGAGTCCTCCATAACGTTATCCACATTCATATCCGTCATGCCTGGTACTTGACCGCTGCTTTGCTCTCCTTTCTTTTTACAGAAGAAAAAAAAAACACAAAAAGGAGACAATTAACACTAAGCATGAAACCTTAATCAAAATCACACAATTCATAGGTCACACATGTATTATCATCCAATGTACTACCTTCTATATAATATCAAATTGACAAATGTGCAAAGAGATATGGAGAATCAATATGCATTAGCCACGGAAATCGAGCAAATCATGTGGACTGATGTATGTGCAGTGAGTATATTCTTCTCTCAACATCTATCTAACCCATATGATCATTGTTTAATGTATTCACATCGAAGCCACAGAGACAATAACTAAAAAAGGAAATAAAAACTGCAACTTGCTAAGCTTGGTTCAGAAAACTGCAACTTGTCCATTTTAAGATAAGACTTGTCTCTAAATCTTTACATGTCTCGTTTCCAGAACTTAAGTCAGCATTTCAACTACAATTTTCAAACAACTTGACAAAACTAAAATAACTTCTAAAAATCAGGTTAAATTCTTTCCTTCTTTTTGGTTATAACATAAAACCAAAAAAAATCCCTAATTTCGGTTGACCCAAATGAGTTAGTATCTTTACCATCTGAGAAGTAAACTCAGGAGAAGAGAAGAGCGCTTCCATTTCTCTAGACCGTTTACTTCCCGGAGAAACAACATCAATGTTCGGTGATAAGTATTCGTAATTCGCCGGAATCCCAAAACTTGGGATAAATCCATCAGAGCCACTGAGAAAATCCGCCGGAGTACTGTTTTGTCGGTGAAACCCACTTTCTTGGTACAATCCATGCCCAACCGGAATCGGAAACTCGAACGAGCCACGACTCGTCGGTAAATCGGCCGAGTTCCCGGTGAGTAACTCAGTTAGACCAAGATTAGTAGGTTTTAAAGATTCTTCTTCATCTTCCTCAAGTAAAGCTTCAAGCCAAGTCGCCGGAGCTGAACGGATCCGAGATAATCCACTTCGACTCACCTGCCCCCCTCCTCCTCCTCCTCCTCCTCCGCCGCCGCTGTTACTTCCTCCGCCGCTTCCGCCGCCGCTACTACCAACGGATGTTGATTGCATCTGCGACAAGCTCAGTCAGTAAATCCCTCTTTGGCTTTTCTCTGGTTTCAATCGACACAAACTTTTTTATTTATTGTTTTTGCTCTGTTTTGTTTTCGTTTTTTTTTTAAATTAATTCGACAGCAGACCAAAATGTTTCTTCGATTGATTTTTTCTTATTTATTTTTATTAATTTTGTGATATAAAAATTGCGGCTATTAATTAATAAACAACCCTAACCGTCCGATTAAGAGACTTTCCTAACACTTTGACTAAGATTGTACACAACCAAAAAGGTGAGAGATGCGTCACCGTGTAACAGAGAAACATTACTTTAACGTCACTGTTTTACCACTTAGGTATTTAACCCACTCGCGAGGGAAGCGCGTGTATTTTAATACATTCAGAATGCGATTTCCAGACGGTAAACCGATTTTCTTTGACGTTATTTATTTTGCCGGCTATGTCTAAAAAATGTGAGTTGTTGCGGTGTGTTTTGGGTCGGATGTTGGGAAATAAGCCTAGTCAAGCCTGTAAACGCAAGAGCCACTAATCAAGAACAACAACACAACTTAATACAAGATTTTTCTTCCAACTTGAACTTTATTGCTAGTAAATCTGTTAACACACCTTACAAGATGTAACACGATTTGGTACAGACTCAAGACACACCTTGATTTATCTCCCTAGCTTTCTCTATTCTTCGATCGATACTTGATCTCAGAACTCCCCTAGAAAAACCCTTAACCCTTGATGCAGACTCTCACTTTTGAATCTCTCACCCTTATGCTAAGTGCTCTCTAGTAGTTGTGTTACTCTTCTACAAGGCTTCAACACGTCTACTTATACCTAGTAAACTCAGCGGCTCTACATGCCAAAAACCCTACACCACAGCTTCCATTTTTGTCGCTTGATGTATATTTCCTATTTCCTTAAACTTTTGCTTGTTTAAGAAAATCTTCCATTCTTCCTGATCCGCTCCGTTATTCCCATCTAGCTTTGCTTTTTCTTCAAGACTTCCATTTCTTCTAGTCCAGCTCAGCTGCTCATCTGACTCCTCGTTCCGAGAGCTTCACTTGTCACGTACTCCATGCTTGTGGCAGTTCATTCTTCACTCCATCTGGTACAACAACTGCGTCAAGCACAGCTACATCTTCAATCTCCCCCTTTTTAGCTTCGTGTGACTCACAAGCACCTGTTTCAAAACATACCACGCAAACAACCACAAACCAACCAAGTACCAAGACAAGACAAGAACGCATTCCATAAAAAACGTCAGAGTCACATAGTCTTTAAACAAAAACCAACAGAAGTCTTTAGAGCAAAACACACATGCTCCCACACACTTAGCCTACTTCTTAAACAAGAACCTAGACTATTACACAAGCTCCCCCACAAACTAAGCACCCGCATCATCTCCTGCCTCATCTCTTGGAATTTCTTCCCACCTGTTTTCTCCCCCTGCTTGTGAGCACCGAAGGTAAAAACAAACATCAATATCCAAAAGAAAACACAAGAAAGAGTCAGAAAACTTACTTGCAAACGAGTCAATCACCATGTTGACTATCCCGTGAAGATGGTTCAGCACGCGACTCACATCCTGCAGGGCCATGGTGACTTCATTCGCACTGGCTGGTGCCAAAGGAACACGAATTACCTCGAGAGGAGCACTCTGAGTTCAACCTGGCGCAGAATCGGATGTCCTGAAGGATGCATCAGGAAGTGGCCCACAAAAAGACCGAAGTGGTACACCTGGTGATGATGCAGGTTGTTGCTGAGGCGACTTGGGTGACGGAGTTGGGGATTTCGATGCATCAGCCTTTCGCTTCCCTTTTCTTTTATCTTTCTATGCAGCTACAGCTTCTTTCTTAACAAATTCCTCACCACTGCAGGAGTCCTTCTTGTAACGGGCAGGCACAATGTGTGTCTCTCCTTGACCGATCTGAGGCTCGTGCTGAAGATTCAGAATCTTCTGTATCAGGCACGGAAACAGCAACCAGCGAGTGTCCTTCTTGATGATCTTGCTCATTAGAAGAATATGTCTGAAAGCCAGCCTTCCAAAGTCCACCCTCACACCATGACTCAGCTTGTACAACAACCGAGCACGCTCCTCAGAAATGTGATGCTTGTTGGTTGAGGGAATCCAGTTGTACGCTGCAATGATAATCAACGCTGCAAAGACCGGTGGAAGATTCCGTGTGCTCAACCCACTCCAACCACTTCCTCCCTTCGACAAGTGCTTGGCAACTTCAGACAGGGAGACTGCGTCAGCAACTGACTCTTCGTGAACCTCGGCCTCACTAAGTGGAGGCAGATTGAGAACTCGATTGATCCAAACAGCAGAAAAGTTGTACTCAAAACCCCTCAGCTTAACACGAATCTCCTGATCCAGATCAGAAAACAACTCACCAGGAAGTCCAGCATAGAATTCCTGAATCACTTGTGGGACATATGGAGTGAGTCCCACAACCGTTGATTCTAACCCGCTGTCTCTAATGATCTTAATGTACCCCCATTCATCGGCTTCGCCTATATCAACAGTCCTTTCACACCAAAGTTGTCGTGTAGCAAAATGGACATACCTCGCTTGATCAGGAGATGCCTGTGCTGTCCGAGACCGAGTCTTTTTGGTCCGTTGTGGTGGTACGGACTCTGTAGCTGGCTCCGGATCTGCTTCTGGAGCAAGAGACGGTTCACGTCTAGGTTTCTTTGATGGAGCTGGAAGTCCCAAAGCGCGCAGCGTCTTTCTTTTGCGTTTTACTTTTGCAGCTTGCGCGCTCACGGAGATCGGGGTAGGGGATGCTTCAGCAGCAGAGGCTATTCCCTCGTCTTGAGCCGTTCCGACCAGAATCGGAGCATCTGTTGGTCGGCACTTCCTGTGGGACAGAGTGAGTTACTTCAGGCGAAGGTTTGCTCTCAGCACCATCAGCTTCGCCTTCGTCACTCTCAATCTTCTGAGTAGCCTCCATGACATCCTTGTTTTCTCCGCCATCTGCTTGCTTCCTAGAATTCGCCGACGAGGCACTCTGAGCATCGCCATCATCTGCTGTGGCAAAAGAACCAGCACTATCCGCCGTATCAGCACCTGCTACGAGAGTCTGGTCAGGAACTCATTCAGTGGATTTCGAGCCATCACCACTGTGCTCGTCGATGAGATGAGGCCTCTGAGCATCACCATCTGCATGCGTCATCTTAGCTTTGGATCGGTTACCAATTAACCCTCTTCGAGTTCCTCTCACCATTGATGTCTTTCTCAGTGAGTTGCCTTTTTGAATGACGAAGATTTAGGGTTTAAAGCAGAGAGTGGTGCAGATTTCTCGGATGCCCACTCCTTGTACTTAACTCCCCCACTTTCCATTTTCACACGTCTTTTCAACTTCCAGTGGTTTCAATGGGCTTTTTCCTTTATAACAAGCCCATTCCGCAGATGTTTCCACACACAATTTGAACTTCGAGAATCCCGGCCCACTTTCCTGTTTCACACATGATAACAATACTGGGACACACACTGAATCAAAAATGCATGCATTAGACCATCAATATTCACGGGCACATTCACACATAAACCGATTATGAAGAACAAATAGTGATACTTGAACTATCACCTATGCACTGGCCCCCTTTTTAAAAAAAAAATTTGCACAATTTTTACCAGGTTCTTTGAAGTGCACTAGAACGAAACACAGCCTCTGACTCACGAGACACCTTTAGCTTGTTCTGATTCATAGAGTCTGGCCATCCCAAAACACGGGCTAGCTTTCACACTCAACTGCCTTTATCGACCCCTTTCACCAGTTTTCAACCTTTATCCACGAGAGAGAAAAGCTTTTAGAACCAAGAAGGAGTGTACTTTTGAGGAGGCAAATGAATTCCTTTTTTGTTTGCAATGAGCCTCCCTTTTTTTTTTTTTTTTTATTTCTCCCCCTTTTTTTTGGTTCAAGTGCAATGAGCTAGTTTCATCACTTGACTTCTCCGAAACTAGCTCAGCTTCCCTTCTACTACATGAAACCTGTACTGGTGTCCAGGTGCGACGGAAGTTGAGGCAGCTCTTTTCCACTCGCATCAGAACTCCAGACTGAATCCAAACCCTGAGTGTCCCCTTGATTCAGTTTATGTATCAGTCCTGCACACTTCGCACACATTCACATACCACAAACCCCGATCGAGTTTCTTAAGGTGAAAAAATGATTAAAATCCAGAGGTTTGTGAATAAATCAGCCAGTTGCAAATCAGTGACAATGTGTTCGATCACTACCTGTTTCTCCTCCACTAGCTCACGAATGAAGTGGTGCCTTATATCGATATGCTTGGTTCTAGAATGCTGCACCGGATTCTTCGAAATACTGATAGCACTTTTGTTGTCACAGTGAACCAATAGTGGTCCAGAATCCATCCCATAGTCTGCGGACATCTGCTTCATCCACATCAGCTGACTGCAGAAGCTCCCCATAGCTATGTATTCTGCCTCTTCAGTAGACAGTGAGACAGAGTTCTGTCTCTTACTCAACCATGAGATTAGATTGTTCCCAAGAAAGAAACAACCTCCGCTAGTGCTTTTCCGATCATCTGCACTTCCTGCCCAGTCTGCGTCACAGTATCCCACCAAGTGCTTGTGATCCTTTGGAGTACCAGATCCCCAATTCGACCGTTCCTTTGACATACTTGATGGTTCTCTTAACTGCTTCAAGATGTGACTGCTTGGGTTTCGCCTGGTATCTAGCACAAATGGCCACACTTAAGGACAAGTCTGGTCTACTTGCTGTGAGGTACAACAAGCTCCCAATCATCCCTTGATACACCGTGGGGTCAACATCTGTTCCATCTTCATCCCGAGTGAGCTTGGCCGTAGTGCTCATTGGGGTGTTAGCTTCCTTACACTGATCAAGCTTGAATCGTGTAAGTAAGCTCTTCGCATAGGTGCTTTGAGAGATAAACACCCCATCATCAGACTGAGTTATTTGCAGACCCAGAAAGTACCTCAGTTCACCTACCATGCTCATTTTAAACTCTTGAGTCACGCTTGTGACAAATCGATCCACAAGTGACTGAGCAGTTCCTCCAAAAATAATGTCATCCACGTAGATTTGCACAATCATGATCTGCTTATTTTGCTCATAGATG